CCACGGCCCTTCCCATCGTCAAGATCCGGTTTGCGGGCTTCACAGAGATGTCGTAGCGGTCCAGAGTGATGGCGAAGACGTTGATGGCGGTGGACACGCTGGCGAAGGACACGCAGGCCTCGTGGAAGCAGCAGACCAGCGCAGAATTGTTCTCCAGGGGGAGCAGAAGGATGACGATGGTCAGAGGAATGCACCCCATACAAATGATGACGTCGAGAACGTGGAGGTTCATGGTAATAATATTACTGACCGAGTTGATTAAATTGGACTTCAAACAGTAAAGTACTAATACGGTGAGGTTGCTGCCGAGCCCTAGGACAATTTCCAGCATCAGGAATCCGGTGAGGGAAACTTGAAAGCTCAGCGGGTAAGACAGTGGCTGGTACATATTGGAGTCTGTGTCCCTGATGGCATCTCGAACAGTAATGTTAGATTCAGACGGCATGTTGGCTTCTGGGATGGAAGAGAAACACATCCTTTCTCGGAAGTTTCTTTTGCTCTGAAAGAAGAGAGAGAAGTTAGGAAGCGAATTGATGTGGGATGCTCGCTCTCTTTCTCTCTTTTTATTTTGCTTGCCTGCAGAAAATAATTTCTTTAGTTTTTAAAATATAATTTCTTTATATTTTAGAATATATATATATATATATTCTAATGACAAGGACCGTGTTTGGGATGCATATTAAAAGCATGCTTAGCTTTGAATGCCATGTTTAGTGAAGGTAGGTAGATAGGTAGATGGGTAGGCATGTAAGCAGGTAGAAATGTAGCTAGAGAGAGAAATAGGTGGGTAGGTGGATGGATGAACAGCTAGATAGATAGAAGATGGACTGTGATTGGCAGACAGATGAATGTGTGTAGATAGATAGATAGATAGATAGATAGATAGATAGATAGATAGATAGACAGACTGATTGGCAGACAGATGAATGTGTGGAGAGAGAGAGAGAGAGAGAGAGAGAGAGAGAGAGAGAGAGAGAGAGAGAGAGAGAGAGATGGGTAGGTGGATGGATGGACAGCTAAATAGATAGAAGATAGATGGACTGTGATTGGCAGACAGATGAATGTGTATATACATACATACATACATACATACATACATACATACACACACAGAAAGTTTTTTCAGACAGACCGGTCTGATTGATTGCACCTTGGCATTTTTGACTGCTATACTGCAGTTCTACTTTTTATAATCACTTTTGCCTTGCAGCCCCCTAACTAGGGGAATTAAGCAGGCTCAAGTCGCTACTGCGATACATTACAAATTCAGATTCGAATCCCATAAAGGGTGTGGCTCTCTCTCTCTCTCTCTCTAGATAGATAGATAGATAGATAGAGAGAGAGAGAGAGAGAGAGAGAGAGAGAGAGAGAGAGAGAGAGAGAGAGA